GAAAGAGAAACTCAACTTCTCTGAGCCTCGAGGTGATTATTTCCTAATGCAGATGATGAAAAGTGCATCATCACCAGCTCGTATATTCGCTCACAAGCACTCTGTGTGCCTGGCTTGTAGAGAGGTACTTGGCAGATGGAGGTGTTTTTAGCGATATCTTTCAGAGGAAGAACTGATAGGACCTAATCTGGGGTGTCATGGGGAGGCTGGCGAACAGGTTGGCTTGGGTTTCTAACCCACTCTGTCCTCCCTAAACCTTGTTTCTCCAGCCTTGCCCTCCCTCTCACCCTGGCTGCCCTAACCTGGTTCCCAGGATGTTTTTCCTGATTTGCTCAAGGAGCGCCCCTGGCCTGCCTCCTTGCCTCCTGTTCCAAGGCTCCTGTTGGCTTCCTGTTGGCTTGGGCCTCGTGTGCTGAAAGGGCAGAAGGAGGCCGCCTCTCTGCAGCTGTGCCCTCTTCCTTCCCCAGGAGACGTGGGCTCCTTTGTGTTGAAGCTGGTGGAGGGTCTTCAGGGCCAGACATGGGCCTCAGATTGGGCAGAGGAGCTTCGGCAAGCCGACCAGCAGAAGGAGAAGTCCTTTCGGTGGGGGCTGGTGGACATGGAGGGTGGTGGTAGGTTCCCAGCAAGGTCTGCTGCTGGTCCTGCTGACCTGCACTGGTCCATTGCAGGGAGAAGGCGATGATGCCTGTATCCCAACACCTGAACCCGGTGCGGGTGCTGCAGCTGGTGGAAGAAACTTTGCCTGACAATTCGATTCTGGTGGTAGATGGCGGGGACTTTGTGGGCACTGCCGCCCACCTGGTGCAGCCCCGTGGCCCCCTGTGCTGGCTCGATCCTGGTAAGGAAGGGCCTACGCCTGGGGCAGCTTGGACCGTCCAGTCCCCTTCACACCCACATGCTCTTGGTTCTCCTAGGGGCCTTCGGGACTCTGGGGGTTGGTGCAGGATTTGCACTTGGGGCCAAACTGTGCCGGCCAGATGCTGAGGTGAGTTAGAGCCTGGAGGCAGGTGGCTTGCTGCTTTTTGGGCCATGAACAACCCCAACTATGTCCTGTCCCACCTCAGGTCTGGTGCCTGTTTGGGGATGGAGCTTTTGGGTACAGCCTCATCGAATTTGACACCTTTGTCAGACACAAGGTAACCGGCCGCCCCAGGTGAAGCCTAGGTTCTGGGAGATGTCATCAGAGTGGGCTGGGCTGGGGAGGGGGTTGCTTCTGCCTGGCGGAGGTCCTCTGGCTGGCCAAGGCTAGGGGGACTGAATATTGTGACTTGGCCTCATCCTCTCCCTGCAGATCCCAGTGATGGCCTTGATAGGGAATGATGCTGGCTGGACCCAGATTTCTCGGGAGCAGGTGCCCTCTTTGGGCAGCAATGTGGCCTGTGGCCTGGCCTACACTGGTGAGGGGCCTGGCATGGGGGAGGCTGTCCCTGGCTCGGCTGGGTGTGTCTCTCTTGGGCTGGCTGTATGGTGGGCTGGGTCCCTGCCACCATCTGACTTGATCTCCCTTTTTAGATTATCACAAAGCAGCCATGGGTCTGGGGGCCCAGGGCTTGCTGCTCTCGCGGGAGAATGAGGATCAGGTGGTTAAGGTGCTTCGTGATGCCCAGCAGCATTGCCGAGATGGCCATCCAGTCGTCGTCAATATCCTCATTGGGAGGACAGACTTCCGGGATGGCTCCATTGCTGTGTAGGGCCTCGTGGGTGCCTTCCTACCCCTGGACTACTTAGCTGGTCTGGAGTCTCTTCCTTGCCTGCTCTGGGCTATCCCGTGGGGCTCAGTGACCCTATAACCCTCCCTGAGGCCAGGGAGGGGCTGGAGGGGTCAGGGTTCAGAGAGGCTCCCTGGAAGCACAGGAGAGCTCTGGGGCCTTTTTCTTTGTGGTCCCAATTGTGCCCTTCCTCTTTTTTACACACGGAATAAACCACCCCTGGTCCACGTGGGCCCAAGTACTCATCCCAGAACCTGTGCATATTGATTTATTGTTCACAAAGATGGAAGTGAGGGGAAGAGGGGGGTAGACGGACGGGGACCCTACTCTCCCACTGGGCACCAGTACTGGGGATTTCAGGGTACTCAGCACTGTGAACCCTTCCCCGCTCTGTGGTCCCTGAAAGAGCCCCACACGTCTGCTCCAGACGTGTCCATGCACTCGCATCCTCACACGCAGACACACACACACAGAGGCAATAAATATGTTCCGTACCAAAGTGCCCCAGCCTGACACTTCAGGTGGGGCCCCTCCAAAAGGGAGGTCTTATAAGTGCTCAGTTTCTTCAAGGACGCTGAGGAAGAATTGGGGAGGGGAAGGGCCAAACTCTACGATCTCAATGTGCTGGTTTGAGGCAATTGTGGGGTTTTCCCTGGGAGAGAGTGGGGAAACCTACTGTATTTTTATAAGCCCAGGCTACCCCATATCCAGCTGGAGCCCAGGTAGGGGCTGCTCTTGACCCCACCCCAAACCTCCTCACAGTCCTTGGGCCCTCCCAAAGGGAGGGAGAAGCAGAGTGCAATGCTCAAAGCTAATACTGATTTGGTTGGCAGCAGCAAGAGGATTGACTGGGGGGTGTCTCACCATCCCAGGGTGATGCTCACATTAACTGGAGTTGCCCGGGCCAAGGGGAGGCAAGAGAGGCCAGCCCAGCAAGGGGGAGATGCTCTTGGTCCTCTGAAAAGATGGCCACAACAGCTGGTCCCCAAATCTCCAGTCCCTGGCCTTTGCAACCAGTACCCAAATAATTTAGCACTGGAAATGAGAAATTAAATCTCAGCATCTGCTGGCTGGTCGCCAGCCATCCGGAGCTAGGCCTGAAAGACAGGTTTGGTCCCTTTCTATCTTTAGGGCACTGTCTCAGCAACCAGGAGCCCGGCCCTTGGTATCCGGGGTCCCGCCCCGCCCGGCTCAGAGGCACACATTGATCTGCTTGGAAAGCTCTCTCTCTAGGTCCAGGATGAGGGCATCAAAGTCTTTGAGGTTCAGGTGCGGGTTGAAGGGCGCTTCGAAGTCATCCTCGAAGTCTGCGGCGCCTGTAGGCTCCCCTGCCTCCTCGTCTTCGCTGTCGCTGCCCGTCACGTGGTCATAGTCGGGCCCGGAAAGGAAGTCCCGCCCACAGGGCAAAAAGTCCCTCCCACAAACGCTCCAGTCGCCGGCGTAGCGGTTACTCGGAGGGCTCTCGGGGCCGCCCCGACCGCGAGGCCGAGTCACTACTTCAGGAGCCGCCAGCGGCAAGTGCAGCGGCGGCTGTTGTTTGGGCTGCAAGTACGGGTCGAGGTCCGTAGCCTCTGGGGACCTGCGGGGATCTGCAGAGGGAGAGGGCGGGCTTGTGATGACAGGACATAGAGGCGGCAACCGGGTCTCTGATTGGCTGTTTAGGTAACCAGCCAGATCACGATATCTCTGATTGACATGTTGAAAAGCAGCGTCAAGTCTGGTTTGGCTGGATATGAACTGGTTGCTGAGGCAACCAGGCACTGGTTTACTCTGATGAGGAGGCGTGGCTTACTTGAAGCCTGAGAATCTGATTGGCTGCCTGGGGGGGGGGGCGGACTCACCTGGCCAGGCCTGCAGCAGGTAGTGCAGAACTTCGATGTGTCGCTTGAAGTCCACTGTGTTGGCAAGGCCCGGGCCAGAGCTGCGGCTGCGGGGCCTGCCGGGGTCCTGGCGCGCGGGCAGCAGCACGGGGCCGAAGCACACAGCCAGGTTCTGCGCGGTCATGCGGTTGTGGGTGTGGAAGGAAGAGACGAGACGCAGGTGGTCCAGGAGAAGCGTCAGCGTGGCCTGAGGAAAGGGTTGGGAGGGCATGAGGGAGACTAAGGCGGCTTGGAATGGGAAAACTGAGGTTCCAGGTCTCACAGCTGGGAGGTGACAGCTAAGACTTAACCATCAGGTATTAGTATTATGATTCCATTTTGCTGGAGGGGAGACCAAAGGCCACAGCTTTGGAATGACAGCTTGGACTTGAACCCATTTCTCTGTTGGTGTGGCAGGGTTGATATTAATCCCATTTTATAGATGAGGGTATTGAGGCACAAAGAGGGTTTGGACTTGTCCAGGATCCTACAGCCAGGAACTCCCTTGTGCATTTTTGATATATCCTGCCTGTGCAGTCTTGGGTAACTCACTCAACTGCTTTGGACCCTGCTTTCCACTTTTATGAAGAGGGGATCCCAATAGCACCTACTTAATGATGCCTCACGCTCGTGGCCATTATGGCCCAGGCATGGGTGAAACGTTCTACTGTCAGCCCACTCCCTGTCCTACCCACCCCACCCATGCCCAACTCACCCTCTCGACATCTGGCAGGCAGCTGAGGAGCCCACGGGTACCCTCAGTGCTGGGGGGAGCCCTGCTCGGGGGCCCTCGGGCCATGGCTTCCAGCACCACTTGATAGAGGGGCTGGGTGATGAGTGGGGTGGGCAACTCTCGAAGATAATCCTTGAGGATGCCTGTGAACACAGGGCCCACTCTGGTCAGGGCAAGCCTGGCTTCTGGAGGGATCAGCTGGGGCTGAGAGGAGGGAAGAGGAGGAGGACAGGTGCAGGAAGGCGAAAACAAGGCCATTACAGAAGAGGTGAGGTCCCAGAGGGGCCACAGGGACTGCCATGAGGTGAGGGTGGAATGAGGAGCGGGCAGGGGAGGGAAGAGGCATGCTGACCAGTGATAACATTGATATCGGGGTACAGGTCCTCTGAGAGGCAGACTGCTGCACTGTCCCGCTCAAAGGCGTCCCGAAGCTCTTTCTTCACAGCTGCTGAGCCGCATAGACGGTACAGCCCCACCACCTAGGTGTGGGAGCAGAGAGGGGATGTCTTCTTGCTGGGGCTACAGATTGATCAGGGCTCGGTGGGGTGGGGTCTGGAGTTCTGGGCCAGGGTAGCAGTAGGCTGAGAAGTTGGGGGCTAGCTGTAGCCTCATTGGCTGCCTTCTTGCTCCTCTGACACCTGTCATGGGGTCCCTGCCTGGCTGCCTGGTCAGCTGGATCTGTAAATCCTCTGCTTGTATCACTTGTCCTGGTACCCACATCCTTTGGCTCAGGAACCTCTGACTCCTCCTCTTCAGTTCACTTGTCATCTCCTCTAGGATGCCTTCCCTGACTTCCCAGCAGGTGAGGTCCTGCTCTGGGCTTTCCCAGCTTCTTCAGTCTTATCCCAGCCACAGTTTTATATTTGCACGTTATTATTGGAGTCATGTCTTTTCGTCCGGAGACTCTGAGCTCCAGAAGGGCTGGGATCCGGTGTCACTAATTGGGTGGATGACCCATAGGTTTGGGGCTGAGTGCCATGGTCTAGGGGGGCCTCCTGCCCTTGTCTAGGCTGGGATTGGAGCCAGGAGTATCCCAGGCAGGGTCGGGAGGAAGTCCTTGCCTCAGTATATTGGGGGTCCTGGGGAATGGGTCTGAGGTCTGGGGGCTAGTTGGAGTGTGGGATGAGGGCCTCACCCGCAGCCCTCGGCGCTCGATCTGCCCCACACACTTCTGAATGATCAGCGGCACCTGGCCCGGGGGCTGCTCCCTCTCCACCAGCAGCCGCAGGGGCAGCCCGAAGACACGGGGCTCAGCTGTGTGGGGTGCTTCCCGCTGCTCCGTCAGGGCCAGCTTGGCATACAGCAGCCCCTGAGGCTCCAGGCGCACAGCCAGCTGCTGGGCTTGGCACCCTAAAGACACAAGGGGACTTAAGTGGGGTCTGCCCTCACAGGCTCCTGTGCCCTGGCCTCCTACTCCAAGCCACACCCCCACCCTGGGCTTAGTGCGCGGGGCACTCTGGGGGAAGTGCTGAACCCTGTACCCCACCGATCTCCCCACTACAGCCAGGCATCCTACCTCGGAAAACCGTGGGCAGCAGCACGGTGCCCTGGGCGCAGGGCCGGTGCCTCCGCACACAAGGGTCCCACACCAGCACCAGGGCTCGCAGCAGCCGGGCAGCCTCGAGTTCC